CATGTTACATTAACAAAAATTATAATATACTTTAATTTAAATAAGAAAATAATTGTATAATTTTAAAATATTATATATAATATATTACAATTTTTAAATTATTAAATTTTTAATAGGAAAGACTAAAATTGCATAATTATGATATTTGAAGGACTAAAATTGTTAAATTAAAAATTGAGGGACTAAAATCGCACAAATGCAATCTTTTAAGGACTAAAATTACTCAATTAAAATCCTATCAAAATTGTACAATTGCAATACTTGAGGGTTTAACTTAATTAGAGTCGAAACAAAATATTACACTTATAAATTTTTATTTTATTTTTATATTGATGCAATACTTTTTTATTAAAATAATTTTTTATTGAACATGTTTTTAAACTAGTATTCAAACATTTCCTTAATGTATTATATCACACAATCTAATGTTATGTTTTTTTAAAACAATTATTTAATTAAAAAAAATTCAAACTAATTCAAAGTCCATATTATCTCACATGTTATCTTATTTAAACAAATATAGATACATAATATGAAGAAAATGTTTTGAATTAACCTCTTGTTCAAATCCTTTAAAATTGATCCTTATAAACACAAAAGTTTATTTAGGTATAGATTCTTTTAATACTAAAAATTTTTGAATTTTAAAAGATTTGATAAGAATTTAATGACTTTTAATTTTTTTAAAAAATATTTTGTAAGAATATAATAATTTGAAAAAATATTTTTTTAATTAAAATTTTATAATATGAATTTTAATGAATTTGCTTAAGAATTTATATGATTTGAAAGAATTTTATTAGATTTTATAATATAATGATTTATTTTTTGTCCTTTAAAAATAAAATTATTGTTTTTAGTTCCTATAATTTTAAAAAATCTTATTTTAATCCTTATATTCAAATTTTGTTAAAAAATTATTAAGTATTATTGTATAAAATCTATCTATTAATGTTTCTGTTAGCAAAAACATCACATTAAATCGAGTTGATATTGTATAACAGTCTTAATTTATCACTTTCATATGTTATTGGTGACATGAGAGATTAAAACAAGATTTTTAAAAAATTTAAGGACTAAAAATAATATTTTTAAATTTGAAGGACAAAAAAAAATTATCTTAAATTTGAGAGACTAAAAATATATTTAAGCATTTAAAATAATTTATTGAAATAACTATTTTTCTTGATACTAACATATTTTTTTAACTAATTTTTTTTAATTAAATATTACTAAATTTTGACTACCCCTAAATTTCTGATTTTCTTAATTGAATACTACATAACTTTTTTGTATTAAAAAAATGTTGATTGGATATCACAATTCTTTTTTATAATAAAAAAGCTTTTTAAAAATTTATTGAAATTCTACACTCCCCTTATTTTAGAAGTCTGTTGGCGAAAGCAACCATAATGGTTTATTTGAAATTAAAAAAATTAAAATTATTTTTAAGACAAGAAGATCAGAGTTACTTTAGAAATTAAAAACGTAAATTTTCGTTTGTAACAGCTGCAAAAATGTTTTTAGAATAAATAGATCAAAAATCATTCATTAATTTGTTTTACTAATATTCATTAGCATAACTGATTGACACTTGAGTTGAATCTTTTATTTGAGTATAAAGTTGCGAGGAAAGATATTGGTTTATCTTTATAGGAGTAAACTGATCGGAAGTAATTTATTTTTTAGATTGTTTTTTTTCTATTTTTATTAATCCATAACTTTTATTTTTTATTTTAAAATAGAGATATTTAGTTTATCTAATTTTAAAAATATAAAATTTTAGTTATCATACAACATTTATTAATTATTAAATTTTAATGTCTACTGATATTTAAGTGATATGACATTTAGCAACATAACATTAAGAAATAAAAAAATTGAAAAAAATATAAATAAATTTTTTATTAATAAAATGAATATTAATTACTCATAAAAGTAAATACAACAAAATTTTTTTGTATGTTATTTTTAATTTTTATCCATATATTATGTCACTAAATCACATTACTTAAGTAGTGACACATCATTAAATAATGTCCAAATTTAATAATTAATAAATATCAAAAGTGTAATTTAGTCTTATTTCTTTATTAAAAAATTTATTGCAAAAAATTGATGTAAAACATGAGTCGAGTAAAATAAGTGGATCCCTTCTCTCTCTCATTCACACAAAGACACACATATATATTATTTATTAGTCTATGTAAAATAAGTAATTTTTGAGTTTGGTTTCTTTGATTTTTTTATTTTATTTTTTATTTCTCTAAAATTTGAACTATGTTTTTAGTCTCTACTATTATGTAATATTTTTTTTAATTACTCATGTGTTTATTAAAAGGTCAAATGACTATTTTAAATGATACTTACAATTATATATGATACTCGCTAATTTTATATAAATATCTATATATATATATAAGTATTTATTTATTTTTTAGATTCAAAACAAAGTCCAAGCGCATCTTTGTTATATTATTTTATTTTGATTGTATAATTCTATAATAAGAAATACTAGTATTTTTTACACTATATATACTTCTTATAGTTCTTCATTATTAAGTAAAATTTATTGAAAATCATAAGTCTATATTAAAATTAATTTGATTGCCATTAAAAATATACTTTATATCGTAATTAAATAGATTAATATTAAAAAATTAAATTATATTGTAATTAATTTAATGATTATAAAAGATGATAACTTGTATCATAATTAATTAGTCTATACTGAAGGAAATTAATTTTTATAATAATTAATTAATCTAATCAATATTAAAAATGATCAATTATATCACAATTAATTTAATTTTAGATAAAAATATAATTTGTATCACAAATTAAGTACACAATGAAACGTGATATAGAGTGACAAATATGTTTTTGTTATGTAAAGTAACATCCCTAAAACATAAAGAAAATACATTTTTGCTATGTAATATTCAAAGTAAAAAAATTGTTTTTGTCAAGAATATTTGTTAAAATAAAAAAGTAAGGGTATATAAACTTCGTAATAAGGGGTGTAAAAATAACAATCTCCTTTTAATTTTGGGCCTTATCGTTTTCAAGTTACAATAGAGGCCCATTGGAATGTAGCAATAATGGTTTGTAGTGTCGGTTCAAATCATTGTTACTGTAATCGGCCTACCACCCGAAACGTATAAATCAACAACGTTATTTGATCATTTATACATGCTTTGGCTATAGATTATTCCATCTATCTCCTTTGCAATGAAGACAATAATGCTACCTTGTTGGGATGGTTGTGGAATATGAAAAATAACCATCCACTAAAAATAGGGTAACTAAGTATGCCTTCCATTCTGACTAGACTCATGGTGACTTATTTCATTCACGCAAGTTTCGGTAGATTGACATCACTGTTATTAAAGTGGCAATCTCCTAATTTAAAACAAGCCTTGATACAGTGGTACTACATGATTATATATAATTCAAGGCTCAAAGAAAGATTCTCCCCCTCCAAAAGAACTACACTACACACCCGCTTCGGTATTTCCTCCCATCCTAGTGTCCAAGTTCACATCCTATTTATTTGCTCTTTTTGCGGTAGTTACTTAATTACACAACCTAAAAGGTAAGGAAAGTTTAGGCTTACATATACATACACATTTTTTTTGTTTTTGTTTTGTAATTAAGACTTAATTTGTTATTCATTAGTCCACGGCCGCCCCACTCATCATGGCACATTCTTTGGAGAAGCGCCATGATGAGGAGGATGCCGGAGCTACTTTTGTACTCCAATCAAAGGGTAACTCTTCCACCATCTCAAAGTAACTCATTTACACATATGCATGGTGTTATACATTTTTTATGGCATATGATGATATATGTATGGTGTTGTACATCTAATAAATTTTATGACACATGTAATGTAATTATGTATAGGTCAATGGTGGCATGCGGGTTTTCATTTGACGACGGCGATTGTGGGTCCATCCATACTGACATTGCCTTATGCGTTCAGTGGCTTGGGGTGGGAGCTTGGTCTTTTTTGCCTAACATTGATGGGAGTGGTCACATTCTATGCTTACTACCTCATGTCCAAGGTGCTTCATCATTGTGAGAAAGCCGATCGCCGTCACATACGTTTTCGTGAACTCGCTGCTGACATATTGGGTCAATACTAATTACTCTTCTCCATTTTTTTTCTTCAAATAAACATACATGCACCTATATTTCAATATTTTTTTCTGTTGGTTTTCAATTTAAATGGGCGTCAAAATTGACATTCAAAGTTGTTAATCACTAATCATTGAGTAACAATGCTAAAAACTCTTCCAAAATTATATACAAGATTTATAGTTTATAATTTTGTCATTAACATCATCAGATTTCCCTTTCAACACATGGCCTTAGTGTAATGAGTATATATATAACTGTCAACTGATATACTTCCTCAGGGCTTTACTTTACTTTTTAGCCTAATATGATGTTAGTGTGCTAATTCAAATGCCTATAAGTACAAGTTATTTTACTAACATGACAAATTTTGGGTTGTCCCTGTCTACTTAATTGTTGGAAACTTTGGTAGATATCAATTCAATAACTTATTTTGTCTGCTACCTATATATCCAACTCTTCATAAGATCTTTTAGGACTAACAACTATACATGATTATTGATACTAGTTAAATGTTTATAAAAGATAATCTTATCTAAGCTTAAATTGATTTAAATCTGTATGTTTCAACTTTCTTTGTGGCAGGGTCGGGATGGATGTTCTATTTTGTAATCTTAATACAAACAACAATCAACTGTGGGGTTGGCGTAGGAGCAATCTTACTTGGGGGCCAATGCCTTGAGGTTTTGCTTTGGATTTTAATTTCTTTTTCATCCTCATTTGTTTATTACTTGTTACATAATATCTTCCAATTTCTTGTTAATGTGCACTTTGAATTTGAAAATATCTATTAATAAAAAAATAATTATTTATCAAATCATTATAATCATTCAACAAATCAGCATTAATTTTATTTTTTTTGTTCTTGTTAGTATATGATAGTTGTCAATGAAATAGTTGATGGAATAATAGAAACTTATTTGTATTTAGAGAATAGTAGTAATTGTGATAATTGTTGTTGTTGTTACAATGAAGTCCTAATTTGCCTAGGCATGGTGCTCCATCTCTAAATACAAATAGTTGATGGAATAATAGAAACTTATTTGTATTTAGAGAATAGTAGTAATTGTGATAATTGTTGTTGTTGTTACAATGAAGTCCTAATTTGCCTAGGCATGGTGCTCCATCTCTAGATGATGGTGAAAATATCTAGAATTTTTTAGACTCTTCAAGTCTCTACACTCTTTTAGATTTTTCTAGAGACTTATACATCTTTTCTTATATTTCTATAATTTTCCTTTTATTTTTTATACATCTTATCTTATGTTTCTAGAATTTTCTTTTCTTTTCTAGAATTTGCATCATAATTTAACAGTTCTAAGTGTTTTGAAATATACTTTTTGTCTAGTAGTTTATATTTTAATGTTTTTAAGTATTAATTTGTGAGTCAACTCTCAAGACACATGTTAATGAGTCTTGTAAAACATATAAGCTTCACTGACATGAATGAACAACTGCAAAAAGAATGAAAACAAACATACAATGATTTGAACAGATCTAAACATCATTGAAGAAATTAGAATATATTCTTTATAACTCATGATAAGGCAATTAATAGTTATGATTTGAAAGTTTCCCTTTTGTAGCAGGATATACACAATGTCAAACTATAGTATGATTTTAATTAACCCGAACATGAAACAGCTTTAGTAGCAAGAAACAATGGTGATTGAGTTGGATCGTCAATGTGGAAAAGATAAGATTCATATTCAATATTGTATGTTCACCCCCATTTCAACATATATACCCTTTTGTTACCCCATGAACTATGTTGAAAACCTACCTTTAATTTATTGATGATCCTTTATCTGCTTAGAAATACACCCTCTTACTCAAGATTTACGAGAAGGGCATCAAGTTGCTGTAAAATTCTAATATGTTAATATGTTACAATCATTATATATGTTTTTACCATGTTAGCATTGACATATGATTAAGTTTTTACCATGTAGTTATTAAAGGATAAAATGAGCAAAATAGATAACAACTTCATTAACTCTCGGTATTGGATTCTGGCTAATATGGTCGAAATACATGACTAACATTAATTATAAACTTTTTTGTAAAAAAAAAATAGTTATAAACTAATGAACTTATTAGTTGTATGAGAGGTGTAGGAAAATATTTTACATTTACATTCTTATGTAGACACATTAAATAATTAAATGATTTTGATATATGTGATAAGCTAATCATCTTAATATCAATATGTAAGATTTTAATTAAAATTAATGATTAACTTCTTCTTTTTTATATATTGTGACAGATCCTATATTCTAGTATTTCACCACACGGATCCCTGAAATTATACGAATTTATAGCAATGGTCACAGCGATAATGATAGTTCTTTCTCAGCTTCCTACTTTCCATTCCTTGAGACACATCAATTTGTGTTCGTTGCTTCTTAGTCTAGGCTACACAACGCTTGTGGTTGGTGCCTGCATTCATGCGGGTACTATCAACTCTTTATACCTCTTCATTACATTTATTGCAAACATTCAGTCGCAAATTAGTTCCACACTAAGTTTTTTTTATGCGCTATTATGGATACATCGAAAATAACGAGTAAATACATTAATCATAAATGTCGCATAATTTTTCACTAAGACTACCTTGAAGGGGAAATGACTTCTCATTTGATTCATTCGGTAACAATAAGACTCGTGCATTCAATTTCAATTTGTGACCAAAATTAACTAATAAGAAATTGCTACAATAAGTCAATAAAGTTTAACCAAAAGTAGGAATATTTTCATTATATATTCACCAATGCGAAAAGGTTTGTTTAATTGTAATATCTATGAAGTTGATAGTCATATTTCCAAATTGTACTAAACATAATTTGGTAGTTTCCACAATTGGGTGCCTTTATTTTTGGTTGAAATATTTTAATTATTTAATCAACTTCCAATCATTTTACAGGTACATTGAAGAACGCACCTCCCAGAGACTACTCCTTAGAACATAAGAAGTCTGCAAAGGCTTTCAATGCCTTCACTTCCATCTCCATACTTGCAGGAATATTTGGGAATGGCATATTACCTGAGATACAAGTAACCGCATTTTTTTGGCATCTTTCGTATAAGATAGAGTTAAATGCAGTGTCACTTGCTTTCCCAAAAGCGTTAAACTACCCTTTATTTGATAAATTATTCTTGATCGTACTTTGAAAATGTCATTTTGGATACAGGCTACTTTAGCACCTCCAGCCGCTGAGAAGATGGTAAAAGGCCTTGGTATGTGCTATGTTGTAATTGGCACGACATTTTACACAATTGCAGTTTCTGGATATTGGGCATTTGGAAACAAGTCTAGTTCAAACATTTTTTTGAGTTTGATGCCAAATGATGGACCTTCTTTGGCTCCAACTTGGGTCCTTGGCCTTGCAGTCATCTTTGTTCTTTTCCAACTCTTTGCCATTGGTTTGGTAAGCTCACATAGTTTTCATTTGTTTTATTTTAGTTTTAATTTTACTTTTGATTCCTTAGTTATGATTATTTGTAAAATTTTAAACCTTTATTTTTAATTTCACAAATTGGATCTTAGAAATTTTACTCGAATAACAATCAAGTGCATGTGCTTCTACATCAACTTCATACAAACTCAAATGATCATGTTAGCACCACAAGCAACGTACGCTAGATAATCATATTATCTATAACAAGTTATGATATCTACTTTGATTGTTACTTGTAAAAATATTATGAGACCCAATTTACGCAATTGAAAATGGAGAATTAAAATTTCATAATTGTTGGTGATTATTGAAGATTATAAGTAGAATTAAGCCCATTTTTTTTTTCTTTGGGAGGTAGTTGAGAGATAATAAATGACTATGTTGTTTGTCTTAACATATCACAGGTTTATTCTCAAGTGGCTTATGAGATAATGGAGAAGAAGTCAGCTGATGTGAATCAGGGGATGTTTTCCAAAAGAAATCTTGTTCCTCGCCTAATTCTTCGAACACTTTACATGATATTATGTGGGTTTGTGGCATCTATGCTACCATTTTTCGGAGATATCAATGCCGTTGTTGGTGCTATTGGTTTCATACCTCTAGATTTCGTTTTGCCTATGCTTCTATACAATATGACATACAAGCCTCCAAAATCATCCTTCACTTATTGGGTTAACACCTCAATTATGGCAGTATTCACAGGTGTTGGAATAATGGGCGCATTCTCTTCTATAAGGAAATTGGTTCTTGATGCCAAACAATTTCAGCTCTTTGGCAATGAGGTTGTTGATTAACCAAATGGATATAAAAACTATGTGAGAGCAACAAGATTTGACTTCCCTAATGTGCGTCAATGTAAAGCTCGTTTTAATGGATAAATGAGAAAAAAAATTGACCAACAAAAAAAACACTTCCCAACATTTTGTCCTAAAAAAATTCTAAGCTTAGGTCACAAAGCTTGTAATATTGAAAGAGTGTGCTTATTGCTTAGTATACAGTTAAGTGGTGATTTGTTCTTGTTTATACTTCATAGGAATGCTTATTTTGTTGATGTTGTTGTTTTGGATATTAGTATGCAAAAATCATGTAACGTTCCAAGTCTTGTTTTATAAACGATGATAATAGTCATCCTTAGTAGGGGGAATGATCATTCCTTGTAAAAAGTAATGAATTAATATTTTTTTTTCTGCGTACCAATATATTTTGTTGAGTCACAATTATACTTTTCTTCGCATTAATTTTATAATATAATTAAAATATTATATTCTCATTCAATTACAAATCATTTCTCCTAATTATTTATATAATAAATAAATAACTATAATTTTTATCCTAATTATAATAAACCCTAAATCCTAAATCATAAATCCTAAATCACACACATAAATTACTTCTCCTACCTATTTATATAATAAATAAATAGCTATAATTTTTTATCTATTTATAATAAATCCTAAATCTTAAACCCCCCCTCACACACAAAACCCTTAATAACTATTTTGCTCTCCTTTTTTTATTATATTATTATACCTTTTAATTACTAAGAATGAAACTAAAAAAAATCAAGATTTTTTTAGTCCTTTACATTATAAACTCTCACTTTATTTAAGTAACTATCCACAACCACTTAATCAACTCACTCTATCTAAATAATAATTATCCATAACCACTTAATCAACTCACTCTATCAATTATCTATTCAAATGTTAAGAAGGAAAAAAAAAACTCATGTTCTTTCCGAATTAATCATCCACAATCACATATTTCATTACCTCCTTTTTATTTTATTTTAATTTTAAAAAAGTTAAGATATGCGAAGTATTTTTTTCCTTACTAGTTATATATAAAAAAAATATTTTCCTTGATAACCATTTTTTATTAGATCATTTTACTCCTTAATTGTTACGAATAAAAAAAAAGAAGTAGAAAATCAAGACTTTTTTAGTCCTTTACATTATAGTTTCTCACCCTCTCTAAATAACCACCTACAACCATTCAATTAGTTATCTCATCTTTATTTATTTTTATTTTAAGAAAATATAAAAGCATGAAATGTCTCTTTTCATTAATCTATAATTTATATTTGTAATTTTTAACACAACAATGATAAAGAGAATACCATTCTTTTCCACTTTTCTAAAGACATATATACCTTTTAACTGTAACAAATATAAAGGGGATGTCATTTTTTGGTTATCATTTTCCTTAAGATATATTTACCTTTTAATAACTAAAACTTTCCTTTATTTGTAATTTCTATACTATTTCCTTTAATAACCGCAACCCTCCATTAAATAAAACTAACATTAATGTGCAAAAACAAAAATTTAAACTCAGTAAGTTCTTTTTGTATTGCAAGTATTGCAATAAGCGTATTAAACTGAGCCAATTCTCTCAAAAAAATTTATATTTTACTTTTTTAAAATAAAATATATAGAGAATGTCTTGAACCTATTATTGTATAAAGAAAATATTCATTTACTTAAAGAATAACTTTTGATAGAGTTATTATACTCAATAATCATTAAATTAAATGTTTTTATAAATAGATCATGTTAACAAATTTTTGTAAAATTTAAAAATTATTTAATAATTCGTTTCATTAATTCAAATTAATATATAATATATTTTTTTAAAAAAATAGAATTCAAATTAAATTAATGAAATAAGTTATTAAATATTTTTTAATAATTATATATATAATAAAATAAATTAAAATGATATTTTAAGAAATTTTAAAAATAAATAAAAAAGACGTATCTATTAAAAAACAAAGTGAGATGTATATAACATCTGCCAAAAACTATTTTTTGACCAATTGGACTCACTCCATCCAACAGAGTAAGTTAAGTCCATGAATTTTAAGCCCAAAAAGCTAAGTCTATCCGACTCCGTATTATTTTTTTTCCTCTTAAAATTTACATAAATGTAAAAAAAAAAAAATGACCATGAAGCCATGTTACGCCAACAAAAATGGAGCACGTAAACAAATAATTTGAATCGGACCCATCCTTTTCACGCTCTAACCTGCTAAGACCAAATGATCCTTTTTGATAGCTATACCCTTACGTCTATAGAAAAAAAAAATTATAAACATGCATTTCACATGGAAAAATATTTTAAACAACTCTCATATGCAGAATCACTAACAAACACGTACGTCTATATATATTTAATTTATTATACGCGATCACTTATTCATACAATAATATATTAGTACAACCATTTTTTTTCTTTACGTACCTTATCTTTCCATTGCATCATAATTATCTTATTTTATACAGTTCGTTCTCTTCCTACTTCTCTTTTCATCTTCTAACTCTGTATACATATCTTCTGTATCAGTCTAATTTCTATTATTATATTTGTACTCACCATGAGAAGATAACTTCTTTCTATTTCCCATCTTAAAAAAAGAAGCCTTTTTTTTATTACCCTATCCCGTTTCCCCACCTGTTCTTGTTTATTATATTACTTTGTTAAATTATCATATGAATCATACTCGAATGAAGAATACGCAATAAAGTTAAAAAAAAAAAAAAAAAGCTGATCTGTGTCTGAAATATCTCTAGCTATATTTGACCAAATATTGAGGTATCTGGCATCAACTAACATCATTTAGAAAACGCATGAAAAGTTAATCTTGGTTATATATTTTATGGTCCATGTATGGTGGACGTGAAAAAGCTCATAAGGACGGTAACCGTATTCATGACTAACGCGTTTGATCCTTCACCAACCATTTCAAAAGAAAAGGCGAAAGCGATTACACGACACTCTCTCTAAATCTTCCTCCTATTTAGTTTAGTTTTGGTTTTGGCACATACAAAAAAGACAGAACAGTCTCATAGGATTCTCGACATGTCTCAAACGACAAACAACCTAGTCTCTATGGAGAAACTCACACTGATAGAGGAAAAGCATAACCAACTTTTAGCGACAAAATCATATCGTAGTAACTTGTGGGATTGTGGGAGCACGCTCTACGACTCGTTCGAGCTCAACTCCTTCAAACGCCAACTCGACTCAGCCATAGCTAACTCCGCTAGAACCCTTTCCATGCCTCGTTTAGCTGAACACCCACTTCACGCGCCGCCGAAGCAACCGCCACCTTCGGTGGTCGTGTCACGGAAGTCCTTCAACTTCTCTCGGTCATTTCAGAAACTTGTTCGCTCCGTTTTCAAGTCCAACAATAAATCCACCAGCGTTGGTTTCCAAGTGGCGGAGAAATACTCGAGAGAGCGTTTGTACGTGGTTTATGATAAGTCTGGATCGGTTCTCTCCACCATACCCGAACTTCCGGAATTTGAAATCGGTGCGCTTTCGCCGGAGATCTCTTCCTTGGTTAGAAGGTCTGCTTCCGAGCGCTTCACTCCCACTGCAGTAGGTGTTTCGTGCGCTTAAGATTTACAATAATTTTAAAATAATTTTTATTTTTTTTATTTAAAAAAAACATTTCTAACTTGTATCTTAGTGTTAAATATTTTTTTCAGTTTTACCAACCTTGATTAGCTATAGGGAATTTTAGAATAGTTTCTTTTTCAGAAATTTGAACTGAAGGCAGTGGTTAAGCTGTTTTTGTTAACTATGAACTTAACCTTATTTGCTTTATTGTCTAATTCGTCTTGTATATTTGTATTGTATCGATTGCTGTATGTGAATTAGCGCGTGAAAGATTTCTGTTTCAAATATTTAGTTCTCATGGTTCGCCATGCAATTTTTGTTTGTATTTAGTTTCAACTTTGAATTATTGATCGGGTATAGGAAACTGCAACTTCGATGAATATATGATGCTAGCTATTTGTTTATTTATATATGATACTGTTTAATATAAAAGGATAATTATAGTTCGAATTCAACAATTCCTTTTATAACAATTTTTATTACTAGGCTAGGGATAAAAAGAGAGAGAGAAAAATTATAATCAAAAGGGATGGGAAGAAAATAAATAATGTGATTGAAAAAATGAAGATAATAAAAAAAAACTATTTCAAGGTTTAAAAATTTATTCATTATAAAATATGAAGACGAGATGCATGCTTATCATAAGCTTTAATTAACAAACTATATTATTGGGAGCTGTTTATTTATGAAAAAAATATATTTTGTTTTGTTTTGTCTTATTTTTATTTTGATGGTATTTGTTTTTTTTCCTCATCGCGAATAAGACAATTAATTAATAAATTATGGAAATAAAATGCAAAGAAGGATGGTGATTGAGTGAAGTTGAGCTGAAGATGAGGATAAATATATATATTATTGGTGTAGGCATGGGGTCGTTATTGATGGGTCTCATTCCACCGTGACTGTATTGATTGTTTCAGCACGGCACTGGAACAGTCATTATTGATGGAGCTTATTTGAATACCAAGTATGGAATCAGAGAAAAAATTGTTACATGGATATTTTTAATTTTTTAACAATATTTTATTTTAACTTCTTATATGCTAAATAAAAATTATTAAATATTTTTTACATTTCCAAAATATTAAATTAATTTATTTTTAGTTTAGACTTTGTAATATTTAAAATTATAAGAAAAATTACAATAAGATATAATATTAGTCAACATTGCACGTATATATTGATTTTATGTATTAAAAGGTAGGCCATAAAATACATGGGTAGGACAGAGTCATAATTGAGAGTAGGTTGGTTATAAATTCAGTGGGAGTGACTACCTTCTTGGCATGTATTGGCAACACATGGCCATGGTCTGGCTTCTAATATTTTTTAATGTAATAACAAAAAAACTATTTACTAAAAGAAAATTCAAAAAAATTATTTACTACACCATGTCCGTGAGTTTTCCTCACAGAAAGCATAATTTGGGCCAAAAGGGAAGATGCAACTAAACGTGAA